AATCAAGGTAGACCACATCCACAGCCTTCCCTGCATCCACTAGATGGGTCACCCAGTAACAGAAGGAGATGAGATTGGTCAGGCAGGACCTTCCTTTCCTACACTCATTTTGGCTGGTCCTCCTGATCCCCTGGCTGTCCTCTACATGCTGCTTAATGGCACTCAATATGATCTGCTCCATAACCTTGCGAGGCACTGAGGTCAGGCTGACAGGCCTATAGTTCCCTGGGTCCTCCTTCTGGCCCTTCTTATGGATGGGCATCACGTTGGCCAACCTCCAGCCATCTGGGACCTCCCCAGTTAGTCAGGATTGATGAAAAATGATGGAGAGTGGCTTAGACAGTTCTTCCACTAGCTCTCTCAGCACCCCAGGATGTATCCCATCTGGACCCACGGACTTGTTGGGATCCAGCTGGCACAGCAAGTCCCTAACTACTCCCTTCTGGATTACAGGAGGGATATTCTGCTCCCAATCCCTGTTTTATCAACTCAGGAGTCCAGCTGTCCTGAGGACAGCCAGTCTTCTTGTTGAAGACTGAGGCAAAGAAGGTATTAAGTACCTCAGCCTTTTTCCTATCTTCTGTTACTATGTTCCCTGCCTCATCCAATAAGGATGTGCCATGTAAACTTTCCCATGATCAAAGAACTCGAATTTCCAACGGTGGCACCAGTCTCTGAGCCAAGCATTAATCAAGTGTATTTTCCACCCACTTTCAGTGTGTTTCCCTTGCACTTGAGAGACTGATGAAAACATCACTTGCGCACCTGATCCATGTACTAGTTGCCCCAATACGTTAAAGTCCTTTTTTATTGCGTTTGGATGTCTCTCTACAACTTCATCACCACCAACCTGGACAGCTAACAAGGGGTAGTAATCAGAGGGCTGCACCAGATCAGGCAGCTTCCTCTTCACATCCCTGACCTGAGCCTACACAGCATCAAGAGCTGTGTGACCAGCAGGCTAAGGGAGGTGATTCTGCCTCTCTGCTTTATCCTTGTGAGATCCTACCTGGAATACTGTGTCCAGCTCTGGAACTCCCAACTCAACAGAAACATGAAGATGTTGGAGAAAGTCCAGAGAAGGGCTACCAGGATGGTCAGAGGGATGGAGCACCACTCCTATGAGGACAGGTTGAGAGAAAGCTCCAGGGAGACCTTATAGTAGCCTTCCAGTACCTGAACAGGGTCTGTAAGAATGCTAGGAGGGACTTTTTACAAGTGCCTGTAGTGATGGGACGAGGGGTAATGGGCGGAAGCTGGAAGAATATAGGTTTAGACTAGATACAAGGAAGTTCTTTACCCTGAGGGCGGTGAGGCACTGAAACAGGTTGCCCAGGGAGGTTGTGGATGTTCCATCCCTGGAAGTGTTCAAGGCCAGGCTGGATGGAGCACTGAGCAACCTAGTCTAGTGGGAGATGTCCCTGCATGGCAGGGGGTTGGAAGTAGATGATCCAACCCAAATCATTTTATGATTCTATGTAAGAACAAACAAAGCAGAGTGGCAGAATGCCACTGTTGTACTCTACTGTGCTAGAAGAGAAACACATTTCTGTCATCCATATCTGCATCATCACATCTGCATCATCCACAGCTGCTTAAGAGCAGAAACATGCAAGGAGGTTATTGTCCCAACAGGCTCTGTTTACAGAACAGCAGCCGTGTATAGCTGTGGAGAAAAGTCAGTTCTCATTTCTCTAGTGTGGCAATATCATGGCATAGGGAATTGCAAAATCTTATAATAATTCAAGCGGAAAAGGACTATTGGAGGTGTCATGGAGTCATTGGAATATAACCTGTCCAGGGCAACACCTTCTCTGTGATCAGATCAGGTTGTTCAGAACTTGATCCAGTCATCTGCTCACACAGCTAAAGATATTAACTGCAACAGTGCCCTGGACAATTGGTTCCAATGCTTGACTGTCCTTGTAGAGAAAAAAAAAATATTTAGAAACTGCCTATATTAGTCGAAACCTCTCCCGATTCAACTTTGGTCTCATTTTCCCACCATACATCTGCTTGTTTTCACAGAACCTGGCTCCATCTTCTTGAAGAACTCCTAATAGGCATTAACATCCTACAAAAGCCTTCTCTTCTCCAGGCTAAGCAATCCCTGTTCTCTCAGCGTCTCCTCATCAGTCATGAGCTGCAGTTTCCTGTCATTTTGGTGTCTCTCTGCTGACATCAACATCTATCAACAACCATCAGAATATCAGACACAGCATTAAACATGTTGCCCAAGAAATGTGAAGCAAAGAAAAACTGTCATTTGTTTATCTACTATCTATCCTCATGTTCACACAGGCCAGATACTGCTAGTCTTCATCACTGCTGGGGACCACTGCTGACCAGATTTAGATTACTTTCCACCAGGACTTGTTAAGCTCCTACGAGCAATGCTGCAAACCACCAAGTCAGCCAGTCCTTGGTCCATATCATTGTAGGGCATTAGTCTGCTCCGGACGCAGGTCTTGGAGTTTGTCCTGGCTGGATTTTGTAAGCTTCCTGTCAGCCCATTTCTCCAGCCTGTCCAGGTCCCTCTGACTGGCAGCTCTACACACACACACACCCTCCCCCCATTTGACATTAATCTAAACCTGATGAAGTGCATTTCCTCTCCTCCTCCTCTGAGTTAGTGATAAGGATGCTAAACAGGAAAGGTTCCAGACCAGATCGCTGGAGGAATCACACTTGTAACCAGACTCCAGGAAGAGTACGAATCACTAAGTACTACACTCTGAGGTCAACGACCAAGACAAGATTTTCGGCATCTAGCAGTCCTGGGCTACAGCATTCTAAAGAGATAACACAGTTGATGCTACAGAACAACACGCTGAAGACTAAAGGCAACACAGATGACAGATACTGCTTTCCTTTCATTAACTAGTGGTGTCAATGCAGAAAGTAAACAGGTTTGTCAAGCAGGATTTACCCAGAGTAACTGCACACTGACTACTAATCAGGATCATTGCTTTCAGGTTTCTCAGGCCCCTTCCAGAGCCACATCTCTTTTCCTCCCTTCTCATCCCCACAATCATCACCACACACAACTCTCCTTTCCAAGCTTTCTGCCAGGCTGACTCCTAGAAAGGAATGGGAACAATTCTGTACTTCAACATAGCTTTTCCTTGAGAGAAAAATCATAGAGCTAGTGCACAACTAGCAGCCAACAAGAACATCCTGGAATATGGTTAGACCAACTGACAGACGGCTGGGCTTTGCTGGGCACACAGGCGCTATACAAAAGAGAAAGGCTTGGCCTTACAATCGCATCTTCACTGAATGAAGCCCCACTCAGCCATTTCCGCAAAGCAACAGAAGGTAAAAAAGAGCAGAGTTAGCAACACTAAGCACAGACATTCACAGAGACAGTAAACAGTTTGGGTCCAACCTCGCTGACTGACAAGTTCTCTCATAGAACTTAAGCAGTTTAAAGGGATTAATCCAAAACCAAGTTCTATATATCCAGAGAAATGCTTGTAATTATAATGAAGAAAATCTCATAATTAAGAAACCCATCACTGAGTAGGAGTATGTTACTCTATGCACATTGCACAGCTATTTTTTGTCCTGCACCTTTAAGAATTGTCCACAATTTAAGGAGCTTGCAAAGTAACTCCCTCATGATACAACCACCCAAAAATAAACATCGTCTGCATCATGTCCAGTAAAATGGGGTAGGGGCAAGGAGAGGGAGAAACAGAAACTTTACTAACATGAACCAAGGCTGAGATGGCCACCTGACAAAAAGTGCAATGTTCGACATATCTCAGGTAGATAAAGATTTGAGACTATTCACATTTGCTTTCCAGAGATTTCTCCCACACGTAAATCAAAATACCAGAAATACTTGAATTCTCCCAAAGGCAAGTACATATGCTATGAGTGTGAGAGAGAATTTCCTGCTTGGGATTTAGGAACCCTACCTGCCAGAGATGGGATGTTTACTCTGTTCCACTCCCATGGCTGATCATACTCATCTGCAGGCCTGTTATCATCCTGTGGCAATTTGCTTTCTTGTAAATGGTGACTCACCACACTTTCAGAATCAGATTCCAAACCACTGCCTTCCGGTTCATAGGGTGTGTCATAGAGCTGCATGTTTTTCTGATGGTACTTCATGCCTTCCTGCTTCTGAAATTCTGTTGGCAAGAGAGAAAATTGCACCAGTGTCACTGTTAATCACGCCTTATCATCACAGTCAATACTTTTAGAGCATTCAGCTTCTATCCATTCCTTAATAGCCACTTAGTTATATGGATTACAGGCTTGTACTTGACTTCTAAATTCTACCACTACATTTTGTAAGTGGCTGGAAGTTTGCTCCAGCTAACAACCACAGCCTTCACCGACATTCCCCAGCCTGCACACAGAACCAGACTACAGGAAGCACAGAACCCCTGTCAGCCTGCATAAAGCATGCTTACAAGCAACAGTACATAAATCCACAAGAAGGCTGACATTTCTGTATGCAGTTAACTTTTCAAGAGGACATCATTCAGGAGTGCAATTTGAAGAAACAAAGATCACAAAAAATAAATCCCTGCAGTTACCAATCTCTGCAGTTACCTCTACAAAATACGAGAAGAAAATGAGCTAGGACTAGAGCAAGAAAACTAAACAAAACTTTGGTACCTAGAGCTTAGCTCACACTGCATTGAAGAACATGCATTTCCTTAAGTTAGCACAGACATTATTAAAAAATAAACATGTTGAAGCCTCACAGAAAGGAACAATGGACAGCCCTTCTGAATACAGCAATCTGAAAACCGGGCTTTGTTAGCAGAAGCACAACTAGCAAATCAAGGGGCAAACTGTCATGCCTTCACTCTTGGCCTCAGGGAGGTTACACCCACCAACAGGTGGGTCTTACTGTGTCTGATATGCACACACCTTATAGGGAGTGTGCAAGGAGTGAGCAAGATCATAAAACCCGAAAGCAACAAGGGCAGAGCTACCAAGCTAGCAGGGTCCTGAGGCCTATGATAAGGAGAGATGGTTATGATTAGTATGATGAGTGTAAGGCCAAGGGATATGTAACAGAAGCTCTCAGCAGCCTGAGGGTCAGTTGGTGCAAAACTCTTCTCAGGCAGCGTCAGAAGATGCAACAAAGGAAAACAGACAGAAGACAGAGCTTGAGAGATTCAACAACGTTCTTCCCCTGGTATGCAGTGCAGCCCTAGATGTTCGCATTCCGTGGTGTTTGCAGAGACTTGGCTAGACAAAGCCAGGGTCACTTCATCTACTGATACAAAACTGGACAGAGTGGGTGATAGACCAGATGGCTGTGTTGCCATTCAGAAGGACCTGGATATACCAGAAAATTGCAGGTTAACTGGCTGAAAAGCTGCTTACCAGAGAAAGACTTCGGGGTCCTTTGTGAGAGAAAATTGGTCATGAGCCAGCAACGCACGTTTGTGGTAAAGAGAGCCAGTACTAACATGGGCTGTATCAGGAGGAATGTTGAAAGCAGGTCAAGGGAGGTGATTCCTCCCCTCTACTCAGCACTGGTGAGGCCACATCTGGACTGCTGGATCCAGATGCCACCTCTCCAGAGGTGACACAGACATACTGGAGCAAGTCCAGCAAAGGGCCATGAAGCTGATAATGGGACTGAAACATTTTTCATATAAGCAAAAGCCGAGAGAGCTGGGAAATGTCAACTTGGAGAAGGTAAGTGTCAGTGGGGACCTTATCAATGCATATAAATACCTCGTGGAAGAGAGTGAAGATGGAGCTGGACTTTTCTTGGCAGTGTCTAGTGACTGAAAAAGAGGCAACAGGCACATGAAGTTCCATCTGAACACAAGAAAACACCTTTTTCCTATGACAATGGTCACACATTGAAACATGTTGCCCAGAGGGGCTGTGGAGTCTCTTCTTGTTGAGATATTTAAGACCTGATGGGACATAGTCATGGGCAACCTCTTCTAGCTGACTCTGCTCAAACAGGGCTTTTTATATAAAGAGGTCCCTTCCGATGTCTTGAAAAGAGAAGACTTTGGGGGGACCTAATAGCTGCCTTCCAATACCTGAAGGGAACCTACAAGACAGCTGGGGAAGGACTTTTTACAAGAGTGTCCAGCAATAGGACAAGGGGAAATGGGTTTAAGTTGAAGGAGTAAAGATTTAGACTGGATCTTAGGAAGAAATTCTTCAATACGAGGGCGGCAAGACTTTGGAATAAATTGGCCAGAGATGTTGTGGCTGTGCCCTCCCTGGAGGTGTTCAAGGCCAAGTTGGACAGAGCCTTGAGTAGCCTGGTCTAGTTGAGAGGCGTCTCTGCCCATGACAGGGTGGTTGGACTAGATGATCTCTAAGATGATCCCTTTCAGCCTAGGCCATTATATGATTCTATGATTCTATGAATGTCAGCTGTTCTGTGATTACCTTGACCACTGCAAGGAAAAAATAATAATTTTACTTACTTAAAAAATAAAATAAACACACTGATACACACATTCTTAAATATAGTCTCTTTTAGAAAGTTTCCTACAAATTTGCTTGAAAGACCATCTTTTGCTTAATCTACATGAAGAATATTTTTACAGGAAAGTATTTTTACTAGAAGTCAAAACAGAAACAGTTCCTTTCAGTAACAGACAGAAAAGCTGAATTTGTACCACAAGCAGTGTTAGCATTGTACACACTGTTAGCTCAGTGCAGACCTGATATTTAAGAATTAGGTAGTTGTAGACAACATTTGTGGTGCAGAATTTCATGCAATCCCTAAAAATGACAGCTCTAAATTGCTAGAATAGTTACTGTAATGAGCAGGGAGTCCAAAACTGTTAATTTCACTTACTGATTTTTCACTTTTATTAATTTTATCCTTTGCATGCTTACTACTGAAAAGTCTACTTTTCTAGAATTATGTTTACTAAGTTAATTACCTACTTGAAGAAGAAACAACTGAAGTTTTGAAAGAACCTGTTTTGTTAGGCAGGCTCCCCAAGTTTGAACTTCTGTGTAAAATCAAATATGTGAATAACAAGGCGCAGAAACTGAGACATCTGGGAACACAAGATTATGTGATACAAGACTGAACTTGGCATTGTTCTCCCTGTTTGGTGAACAATCCTGACAAACATTCACATACAGAACAGCCAAAATTCCACAGGGCAAGCACATAACCTCATGGCAACCGTTCCAGCAGCCACACTAAACCATGAAGCAACATTACCTGGAAATACTAGATCTTTCTGGCATTGAGTTTTCATTGCACACAGACAAACCAAATTATTATCAGAAAGATCTGGATCTTTAAAGCAAGCAAGAAAACAACAATCCCTTGCTAGAGCCTACTACTTGCATCTTGTTCTCCTGTATAGATAAAATGCACCACAGGGAGAGGGAGTGTTTGAGCAGTTAGGAAACAAGGCTAACTAGGACAGTCAGAGCAAAAAGAAAAGCACAGCTTTTGAAATGTGGGTTCAAATACTTTACTTTCAAGAGCCCAAGAAGGGGTCTTGGAGTACTTGCTGTAGCACACTGGCTTTCTATAGATTACCCTTGGATAGGTAAAAGAGCATCACACACAAAAAAAGAATTAAAAAAAAGCCCGAGAACATTGTCGGCTAATGTCCAGTTTTTCATCCACTAGCAACCCCAAGTTATCTCCTGCAGGACTGCTCTCTATCACATTATCCCCCAGCCTATATTGATGACGATTGCCTGAACCCAACTGCAGGGCCTCGCACCTTGCATTGACAAACCTCATGAAGTTCACCCAAGCTCACTTCTCGACCTTGTTCAGGTCCCTTCGGATGACATCCTCTCCCTCTGGCATATTGAGCACACTCAGCTTGGTGTCACCTGCAAACTGGCTATGGGTGCACTCAATCCTGCTGTCCACTGAAGAGAGTCCCTTTTCAGAATGCTGACCGGGTAACAACAATCACACCGATGCGGTTACATGCCGTTCCAACTTTATTGCTCCAATTAGCCCAATACATATACTGTTAAACAATATGCTTTGTGTTTACACGCCAAGCACAAGCTACAATAAGCTTTGTCTTTGATTATCGTCATCAATCCCTGTGGGTGTTAGATGCCCTTGCTGCAGTTAGAACATCCTGTTGTACGTTTTGCAAAGTTCTTGCAGAAACAACTTTGTTACCTCTTTTTAAGCTTCAAGGCTAAGAATGGAGCATTGTTTAAGCCCAAGCCGGATTGTCCAAACCTTCTAGGGGTATACTGTGTCCTTGTTCTGCAAGGAATTCCCCTACAGTCCATGTCATTCATGAAGATATTAAACAGCACTGGTCCCAGCACAAACCCCTGATGGACACCTCTTGATACTCATCTCCATCTGGACATGGAGACCGTTAACCACTATCCACTGGATGTGACTATTCACCAAACAGTCCACCCATCAACCATATCTTTCCAACTTAGAGAGAAGATTTAAGGGGCCCGTTAGCTCAGTGGTTTGAGCGCGGTGCTGACAACAATGTCAACACCGAGGTCGCAGGTTCAATTCCGGCTCGGTCCCCATGTGTTGCCTGGTC